GTAAACTATTATCTCAATTATTTGCTGGCTAGTTCCTTGCCAATAATTCCATCTTCCGATATATTTTCAAACATAATCAATACATACACTAACCAAATCATAATTCATGCACAGCTCGTGCATCGCACGTAACATAGACTAGTACTAAAAAATTGTGGCACAAAAATGACATCTTGTTGTCTTCGATCATTTCTTCATTTTCACACGTCATTTCATAGAAACCACCACCTCCACTGCAATATTTCTTTATTTTCATACACCACTTCACTTCACTCAATCCAATACTTACAAAGAAAAGAAACTAAACGATTTAACAAATTAAAGAACAAAAAAAGAATTGCAGGAAAAAATAGAAAAAAAAGGTTATTATAAGCTTTTAATTAAATTGAAATAATTAAAATTAAAAATAAATATTATTTAATTAAAATTGAAAAAATTACGTTTTATCATAAAACGAAAAGAATTAAAAAGAATTTTAAATCGAAAAAAATATTTATAATATGAAGAAAAAAGAAATTTAAAACAATTTCAAAAAAAAAAAATTAATTAAACAAAATAAAGTTACGAAAATTAAATAAAGAATATATAAATAATATTTAATTAAAATTGAAAAAGGTAAGTTTTATTAAATAAATGAATTAAAAAAATTTAAATAAAAAATTATTTATAATATGAACAAAACAAATAAAAAAAATATATAATATGATGGAGAGAAACCTCTCCATAACACGGGCGCAATCATAGTTCAAATTGATGATTACTTTTTACAGCAAAATCTTATTGTAATTCATGTTTGACCTCTATTTCAGTAATGCCTTAGTTCTCAAAATCTATCACTTTACATTGTTTGTGGTGTACAATACTTTCTTTTATGCTATTTTTTAAATTGAAAGTCTAAAATAGACATATTATTTGAGCCCATTTTTCTCAAAAAATGCATGTTGAATAGTGTTGTGATGGAGAACGTGTGGTTAAAAAATAAGGAAATTTTTGGGCTTGCGAGTAATATTATTTTATTAAAAAATGTGTGGTTGAAATTATGTCAAATTACTGTTGAAAAATGTATTTTGAAAAAAAAATGAGGCTCAAACAAAGGCTTTATGAAATCTCAATATTTTTTCCATTCTTTGGTTATGTAAACTGATGCTATAGTTTGGTTCAATGGGCATTTAGAAGATTCAACATGCAGGGATTACAATTTTAAGACGTATTAAAATTGAAGGAAAAAAGAAAATCTCATGTTGAGATTCATTTATTGCACGAAAACACATCTAATGGATACTCATGCTCACATTTTTCTATTCGCTGCCCTTTTTACACAAACATAGTATAGATACATCTGTGACAATTTTACTTTAGTGGACGTATGTATGCATTCCCACTGATAAGTGTTACACAAATTATTCTACATTAGTTACACTCCCTTTAAATACACTTTTTTTTAATAAAAAATTCTTCTATATTAGTTACACTCCCTTTAAGTATGCCTAATTTCAAATTTTTTTTTTGAATAAATATATTCAATTATGGATATTCACATTTTTCTTATATTATTAAGTGAATATTGCAAATTCCGACTTTTGACTCATGGATTTCATCACAATTTTGAGTTGATAAATTTGATGGGATTTCTTATCCATGTTTTATCTACCAGTAATATAATTCAGTATCATTCTCATCTTATACATGAATTACATAAATAACTAACTACAATATGCCAATCAATGAGCAATAAACCTTTAGTTCAAATTTGTAAAAACATTTACTCGAACTTTCAATTTTTTTCCTCCAAAAATCTACAATTTCTACGCTAATAAAAATAAAATAAATACAAATTTCGTTTAATGCACATAACAATGACTAGTTTTTATAAAAAGATCAATTTGTAATTAAATATTATAAGATTTTCATATTTAGAGCCCGTTTAAGAGTGATTTTGAGAATTGATTTTTTGACCGTTAAGAAAAAAGTGGGGTCCACCTTTGAGAGAAGAAGTCAAATATGACGGTTGAAATAGTGAAATAACGGTTAAAAAATAAATTTTTTTAGGGGAAAAAAATCACTCACAAACAGACTCTAAATTTTAACATATTGATTGGTTGTTTACTTTTTAGAGGTACAATATATTAAGCCCCTATATATCTACAATCCTCCAAATTTTTTTCTTTCTAAAATTCATTTTCAACAACACATTTTTACAATAAAATATTTTGTACGTAAATCTAAAACTTTTTTATACTTTTTAATCGCATATTCTTCAAACCAAAACTTATTTTCCCAAAAATCTTTTTTTAATTGGCATCAAACATGGGCTAAGAATGATGAACATTAAGCCCTTGTTCTAAAAAAAATAATATTATAGACAAATTTAAAACTTTTTTTAACCACATATTCTCTATTAATTTATTATTCTAAAACACACTTTTATAATAAAATGGGGCTCAAACAAACTTTAAGTTTATTTGTAAAAACATTTACTCGAACTTTCAAAATTTTTCCTCCAAAAATCTACAATTTCTACGCTAATAAAAACAAAATAAATACAAATTTCTTGTAATGCACGTAACAACGACTAGTTTTTATAAAAAGATCAATTTGTAATTAAATATTATAAGATTTTCATATTAAGAGTCTGTTTAAGAGTGATTTTGAGAAATGATTTTTTTATCGTTAGGAGAAAGGTGGGGTCCACCTTTGAGAGGAGAAGTCAAATATGACGGTTGGAGTAGTGAAATGACGATTAAAAAAAATATTTTTTTTGAAAAAAAAATTATTCCCAAACAGGCTCTAGATTTTAACATATTGATTGGTTGTTTATTTTTTAGAGGTACGATATATTAAATCCCTATATATCTACAATCCTCCAAATTTTTTTCTTTTTAAAATTCATTTTCAACCACACATTTTCACAATAAAATATTTTGTACATAAATCTAAAACTTTTTCATACTTTTTAATCGCATATTCTTCAAACCAAAACTTATTTTCCCCGAAATCTTTTTTTAATTGGCATCAAACATGGGCTAATAATGATGAACATTAAGCCCTTGTTTGATCCTCATTATTTCTAAAATATATTTATCTCTCTTTCTTTTTAACACACATTTTTCTTAAAAAATAATATTACACACATTTAAAACTTTTTTTAACCACATATTCTTTATTAATTTATTATTCTAAAACACACTTTTATAATAAAATGGGGCTCAAACAAACTTTAAGTTTATTTGTAAAAACATTTACTCGAACTTTCAAATTTTTTCCTCCAAAAATCTACAATTTCTACGCTAATTAAAACAAAATAAATACAAATTTCGTGTAATGCACGTAACAACGACTAGTTTTTATAAAAAGATCAATTTGTAATTAAATATTATAAGATTTTCATATTAAGAGCATGTTTAAGAGTGATTTTGAAAATTGATTTTTTTACAGTTAGGAAAAAGGTGGAGTCCACCTTTGAGAGAAGAAGTCAAATATGACGACTGAAATATTGAAATAACGATCAAAAAATCAATTTTTTTGAAAAAAAATCACTTCCAAACAGGCTCTAAATTTTAACATATTGATTGGTTGTTTACTTTTTAGAGGTACGATATATTAAGCCCCTATATATCTACAATCCTCCAAATTTTTTTCTTTCTAAAATTCATTTTCAACCACACATTTTCACAATAAAATATTTTATACGTAAATCTAAAACTTTTTCATACTTTTTAATCGCATATTCTTCAAACCAAAACTTATTTTTCCAAAAATCATTTTTTAATTGGCATCAAACATGGGCTAATAATGATGAACATTAAGCCTTTGATCTTCATTATCTCTAAAATATATTTTTCTATCTTTCTTTTTAACACACATTTTTCTAAAAAAATAATATTACACACAAATTTAATACTTTTTTTAACTACATATTTTCTATTAATTTATTATTCTAAAACACACTTTTATAATAAAATGGGGCTCAAACAAACTTTAAGTTTATTTTTTCAAAGAATACTGTAATTTATATATATGTATTCTGTATTTGATATATACTTATTTAATTAAGTTTGGCTTAAATTTTAGTCTTACAAAAAATTATTACATGGAAAAGGGAAAATGAATGGTGAGGATTGAACCTCCACGTGCTATACAAGAACTTCTCACAGCCGCACTGGACTCATGAGAATTTTATTTTAGATGAAAGTCTTCATATGAATTTTAAAATGCTTACAAAAATCTTAAAATGAAAGATTATAGAAATTTACTGAAGACATTTATTAATTTCATACAAATCTATAAAATACATCATTTAAAAAAAAGTCTATAAAAATTATAATTAAATACACCCTCTTAAGTTTTCAATTGGGAATACCTAAATTTTAATGATTTCATTGAGAATATATGAATTTTGAAGGATTTTTAAAATTTACTAAAGTGTGAGTTAAAGACATCCCTATAATATATTTAAGATAGAATTACATTCAAATCTTATAAATCCTATTAAAATTTTATTGAAATTTGTGATAATCTATAGATATCAAGAAATTAATTGAACTCTGTGTTGACGACACCTTCCTTAAATTTCGAATAAATTTAAGACTTGTTCGGCAGTGATTATGAAATTGATTTTTTGACCGTTAAAGAAAAAAGTGGATCCTACCTATAAATGAAGGAGTAAAAAAATGATGATTGAAATAGTGAAATAATGATAAAATATTGAATTTTTGAAGTGAAAAATTGCTACACAATGGAGCTTAATTTATTCTTGTTGCACGACTTGCAGAAATTTTTTATTTTAATATATTTATGCAAAAAAGGAATTAATTTGACTCATGTTTATAAACGCATAAACCATTTTTATCCACATGTTTGAAGGATTTACAAGTACTAATCTACCCACTTAGCTACTCTTATTTCTATTTGTTTATACATAACTCGAGAAATTAAAAGCAAATCTAGAGAAGTTGAGACCTAAAATAAATCCCAATAATCTAAAGTTGATTTCTCTTTACTTCTATCCCAAACTAACCACGAACCACAAAAAAAGTATCTTTACTGGCTAGTAAACATGGCCAAGCGAACCCTATGTATGTCCAGTATATTACCCACGCACGGCGCACTCACCCTCTACAGTCGTCTAGGACTCTAGGGTCTCTCTCTGGTTAATGCAGTAGAAGTAGAAAAATGGGGACTTTCGGGGACGACGGCATACTTCCGAATACGAAATCCGAGTCCGAGGAACCGGAGCAGGGGTTTTCATCTACTGATTCGCACATCGAAGATGCTTTGTTAGAGAAATTGGAAAATGTAGTGCTAAAAGCCGATGAATATGATACGGAAAACGATGGACAAAAGGACTCCGGTTGTCTCGATGGTAGTGGATTGCTGCCTCTGCGGCCGTATGCAGGTGATTGCCTCCATTTTATTCGGACGGGGTCGTGTAAGTTTGGACTCGATTGCAGGTACAATCACCCCGACATAAGGACTCAGACTCAGACTCAGGTATGATTGCGATTTTAGCTAGGGCTTTTTTGTATTTTGAAAGTCTATGTATTTTTCGTATCAGATTATTAATGCTATGATGATTTTCTGTATGTTGAAGGCTGCTATCGATCTAGACAAGGATGTAGTTCCTGAAGATTCTGGCCCGATTGAGTGCAAGGTTAATAGATTTATCATTTTCCTTATCCATATGTAATTATCAAGTTTATTAAACTTCGTATATAGTTCTAATCAATGTTTAAAACGGAACACTTGGGAAATGATGCAGAAGGCTCAGTTGAGCCTCTGTCAATTGAAGGGTAAGCCTTGACAAATGGCACTCAAGGCGTAAAGTTTGTGTTTAAAAAGCCTAATGTGAGGAATCTATCAAGGCATAAGCCTTACACATTTTTTAAACCAATGATACCAATCTCATTTTTTTTGAGGGGGTAATGGATTTTTCTGAAGTTATTATTTAGGCAAAATAATGTTCGCAGTTATGCTTTCCTTTTTCTTCTACTGACATTCATCTTCGGTGGTTGCTTTAACTTGCAATCAATTTTTCGTTCATGTTAAAAGCTGACCATTGCATATACGATACATCTATTGTCTCTGCTTACCTATTCCCTGGCTTGAAATAGATTTTTTTACAGCGACTGTAAATATAGTTACTTTGTTACTTTTTCAGTATTACCGAACAGCCGAAGGGTGCAAGTATGGAAAATCTTGCAGATACTGGCACCATGGAGAAGAGTCTCAAAATATTGTTCCCGAGCTTAACTTTTTAGGTTTGCCAATACGATCGGTACTGCTGCATCTTATAGCTCTTACAGTGGTTGTTTCAAAAATAGATCATATAGCATTTGCTGTCGCATACTTGAGGTTCTTATTTGAAGCTAATTGCATTTTACTTTTGATTAGGGAGAAAAAGAGTGCCCCTTCTACATGCGTAATGGTACCTGCGGATATGGATCTCGTTGCGTATTTAACCACCCTGATCCTACTCCAATTACAGGGATGGGATCTCCCAACTCATCAGTGGATGACAAATATGAAAGACAGTTAAGCCATCCTTTGGAAAAGCATAATGGTCTTCCAATTCATTTTTCAGGAGCTTCACAACCAGATCAAACATCCAGGTTTTTATACTCATTTTCTGATAACACCATTTCCTACCCGAACAGCCACTCATCTTACGTGACACCACATACACCTCCTCAGCAGATGCAAAAACAATCAGAATGGAATGGATATCAGGTTGCTCATTCTTTTTCTCTCACTGAAGCTTTCTACTTTTATTTCTTTGATAAAATTGCTACTTTTATTTCTGATTCGGTTTCAGGAAATGATTTCTCAGCTTCACCTTGATATCATTCACGTTTCCTTTTCTTCTCTTCATGCTATGTGCATTTTCAGTTTCGTGGTGCAATCTCATACTTGCTTATGTTCCCAAATTCATGATTATAGTAGATGCATAAATGAAAGCCAATGTTTAGTGGGACAGAGAGGGACATGTAAAGGCATTGTGGATACACTCATATGGTAAATCTGATTAGTCCTTGGTATGATGTCTTTATCAACTTCAATCTGTGCGACAAGCAGCTCAACAGCATAAATGTTTTCTCATTTATATATGAGTTAATGAAAACTGCTTATGCTTTCCTGCATCTTTAAGAAAATGATAGGGGTATATTTGGCAATTTGCACACATATTGGAATTTACTAATTCTCTCTATAGAAAGAAAATCAGTAGACGCCTCTTTTTATTTGTCTGCGCGTAGACAGAAAACAACGAGGAATGAGTCTAAAAACACAATTTAATCCTCCTAGTTGATGTATTGCAATTCTGCAATGGCATCAAGTGGACACTACTCTCACACTAAGAGGGAACCTGATGCATCACCAACTGGAATAATTAGGGGAGAATGAAACAGATAGATAAGAAGAGGAAATTAAGGAAGAATGATAGAAGAAGAAGATTCAACGGAAGAAATAGAAGAAAGTAGAAGAGAGGATTTTCGCCACAAGCCACCAAAAGTTTTATTCACTCATTAATCATTTTAATTTCACGACAAACTAAACTTAAAGAGACCGGGCTTGGGCCAAACCCTTTATACTAGCCCAAATACATAAATAAAATTCAACACAAATAAATAAAAGTCCAACTAGAAATGAATAACATGGATGTTCTCATCAACTCTCCTTGGGTGGGAGAAAACTCAACCCTGTCGAGTGGATAGGTCACGAGAGGCTGTAGTCAATCTCCCAACCACAAGTTGAGTGGTTAGGCAAGTTTTCTCCGATGTCTGTAGAAATGTGTTGGTGGAGTTCTAAATCTGGTGTCATCACCAACTCTCCCTGGGTGGATGGAAGGTGATCTAGGCCAAGGGAGATCCTGCTGACTCCAATAGAGCTCCAATAAATCTAGATCCAATTGCTGTAGTCTCTCTTTAGAGATCTATGTATAGTCAGAATCTGGTCGATCAACCCAACGAATAAGGAAGCGTTGAACATCTCCATCATTAGTTAACGCAGCCTCTTCAATTAAAATAGTATCAATTTTATCTTTGTATGCTGTGAGAGGTAGTATTGGATTAAAAGTAGCAAAAGAATTAGGGTCAAGGTCCATAGAAGGAGGTAAAAGAGGATCATTGGAGGGGTTGAAATGACTTTTATAAGCAATTAAGTCTCAAAAGTAAAGTGGTATCCAAGGTGTGGTGGGATGTAACATATGCATTTGGACCAATTTGTTTTAAAATTTTAAGAGGACCAGCATTACAGGCTTGCAATTTGGAGGTCGGTCCAGGTAGACGCCGTACTAGCCTAATTCGGATCATAACATAATCCTCAATATTAATCTCAACATGTGGTTTATGCAAATCAACTTGGAGTTTATATCTTGCATTACTGGCTTCTTGAAAATAGAGGGCTTTTATTATTGTCAATTTGTAAAGAATATGGCAAAGGATGAACGGCAGCAAGGAATTGAATTCGCAACATGTATAGCAATCTGAAATTTCTCTCTCTCTCTCTCTTTAGAAACTGATGAAAATACTAAAAATAACTGAATTTTTTTGGGCGTGAACAGTGCTCATAAACAATACCTTTTTTTTCGTCAACTAAGAAAGAGAATTGAAATAAAAAAGAGAGAAAACTGTTGCCTCACACAAATTCTTTTGTTTGCACTATTCTTCAAGGTTTTTTGAGAAGGAAATAGGAAGAATTTTGGATTGTAGGTTAAGAATTACTCAAGATTCGGCTCTGATATCAAATTTGATGCAGCACCAACTGGAATAATTAGGGGAGAACGAAACAAATAGGTAAGAAGAGGAAATTAAGGAAGAATGATAGAAGAATAATTCAATAGAAGAAATCGAAAAAAGTAGAAGAGAGGATTTTTGCCACAAGCCACTAAAAGTTTTATTCAATCATCAGTCGTTTTAACTTCACGACAACTAAACTTAAATAGCAAAATTAAACCCTAAAGAGGTCGGGTTTGGGCCAAACCCCTTATACAAGCCCAATTACATAAATAAGATCCAACACATAAATAAATAAAAGTCGAACTAGAAAATAAATAAAATGGATGTCCTCATTCGAACCACACTGAATCCTGTCTTACTTTCAGTTTCTGTTTGGTGTTACTAATTGCTCTCGGTAGAATAGATGAACGAACTCTCTAATTGTTTAGCACCGCCGTCGAGTATTTTCTAACAGCAGCTATTGTTAAACAAGGGTTAGTTGATTGCTTTTTTAATTTTTCCTTCTCTTTTCTAAGAAATTTATGGTCCTGATACGATACAAATTCTGCTAAGTTGAAGAATTTATACCTTATTCTCTTTGTCTGCAATTATAACTGACTACTTAGAGAGAAAAATAGGGGCTTTCATTCACATATTTTGTGTAATAAATAATTTTTAGCATTATGACAGTGGATGAGTTTAAGGCTAGCTCGATTACCCGGGATGAACATGTCCAGTTTTACAGTATGCCTAGAGTTATCCTTAGTCTCCCTCCTAATTGTGATATTTGTTTATTTATATTTTGGGGCATTATAATCGGGCTTCGTTTCGTTTCATTCTCAACCCCCCCCCCCCCCCCTCTCTCTTTTACCCTCTTCCACCCTTCTGTTCTACATGTATTCTATTGTTGTTCAAACAGTTGGCGGTGACATGTTGTATGCCTACTTATGCTTTTGTCAATATACTCAGGCTCCAAATTCCCATCAGAGTGGGAATTATAGTGCAACTCCTTCTGCAGATGGTTCCCTGAGAAAATCATACATTTCTATGCAAGATGAAGAATTTCCTGAACGTCCAGGTCGGCCCGACTGTGATTATTTCATGAAAACTGGGAACTGCAAATTTAGATCAGCATGTCGATACCACCATCCAAAGGATAGGAAACCTAAGCCTGATGAACGTGTCCTTTCTGAGAAAGGCCTGCCATTGAGACCTGTAAGTTTATTTATGTTCTCCTTTCAACTTATTTTGGGTGTTAATATTACTGTTTTTGAGTCCCTTTTTTGGTATCATCAAGTGTTTGAAAGGTTGCTAAAAACAGCAGCATTATCTATTACTTAGATTCTGGTTCTGAGGCTTTGGGTGGGGCAATGGAAGGCAACCTTATGTTGATAAAAGCAAGTATATTTGTGGGAGAGAAGTTATAAGAGTTTGTATTAGCATTATTTCGTAAAGATACAGACAAAAATATATTTATAGAAAGTTCTTCCTCGAATAGGCTTCATTGCAAAAGTGAACCGTGTGCTTCAATCTGTAAATAGGTATGTCTATATCGATAGTGGGATATTTTCTCAAATAGGTTAAGAATTGGGGTTTAGAAATACCTCAGAAGAAGTATAGGTGCAGCATGTAAATCTCATGTGAACTCAAAAGAGGAAAATTTGAATGCTCATGTAGCTAAAAACCCCTTTCATAATCTCCTTAAGACCAATTCCCTCTTACGATTAGCATCAAGATAGGCTACACTAGGATACTTAGCTCTTGTTTGAGCCTCATTTTTTTAAAAATTCATTTTTTCAAACTCATTTTCAACCACACATTTCCAATAAAATAATATTACACGCAAATTCAAAAAATTTCTTAATTTTTAACCACACATTTTTCATCAATCTACTATTTCAAAATACATTTTCTTCTCAAAATGGGGCTCAAACAAGGGCTTAATTTGATACGATAGACATGTAAACTAAAGAAGTTACTTACACTTATTTCTTTTTTAAATTTAGCCAAGTAAGCTTTATTTTTTCAGCAGATGATTTTATTTATTTATTTTGTTAAAGACATTCAATTTGAACAAAAACTACTTCAAAAATTGAGTGGTGCAAAACTTCTCTTCTCGATTTTGATGAAATCTGCGATGTTTGAGAGTGAACAAATAAATAAATATATTTATGATTGTATTTGTGTTATGTTTTGATTATTATTATTTGGATAATTAGCTCATAAGAACGAACTCAAGAGACTTCGGATGTAAAAGATCTATATGCTGTTTTATGAAAAATGAAAGGGAAAAAGACAGAAGATATGCCTGTTTTTGTATTTTTGCACAATTGAATGCCCAGCTATGACTATTAAATGACTAAAACATCTATTTTCTACATAAGGTTACTCAACCTGGTCATAAAGGGAATTCTTGGATTATTATCTTTTCAATTTGGTTATTTGGCTTTCTGTGTTCATAGTTTTTCGTTCAACTTTAATCTCTGTATAGGGTAGAAGTATTTGCCGACATTATGAACGTCATGGTGATTGCAAGTTTGGGAGTGCATGTCTTTTTGACCATCCCATTAGCCATGGCTTGTCAGCATATACTGATTGGCATGTTTCAAAGACTTCTGCTGACTCTGATGCTGGATCCTGGGGTGATTAAAATCGCTGAAGCTGGAAATTTTCGGCACTGTAATTTTATGGTTTCCTACGGGAAACAAACCTGTTTACTTCCAATGACCCTGATAGACTATTTTATATAGTTTTACTTAGAACTACATCAAACGAAGAAAGATAGACTGATGTTAGGACAATTTTGCGGCATATCATTTGGAATGTAGAAATCGAGGTAAAACATTACTCATGTAATGTTTCATTGAGGTTTCTGTAGGGAGAGACTGCTCCCTAAATTTATCTTGTTTGCATAGTTTACAGTACATGTGAAACTTGTTCTATTATCTTCCCAGTGTAGTTGGTCAGAAGAGTGTTTTTAAATATCTGAAGAACTCGTGTAACAGATACCTTAATGTAAAATTACAACTGCCTTTCATTCCCCTAACGTCGTATTGTAATCAGCTCACTTTGATATTATTGTTTTCCCGATTTATAGCTCCAAATGCAGAAACAGCAAAAGCCACTTCTGCATTATGATAACAAAATCTTACTAAACATGTCACAAATGTCTAGAAGATTGAGATGTCCAACATTATCCTTTTGCGGGGTAATGAGAAACATTTTCGACCATCGATGCTCCAGCAGCATTTCCGGTGGCTCTCGTTTAATATCTGGCCTTGGCAAATATGACAGTGAATCCATCTGCCGAGGCTGGATTATTCACATCTCATTCACCAAATTTCAACTTTGCTTTTACACTCCGCTCACAATGAGGGATATTTGTGGGCCCCTCAACATGTGAGGGCTGTACATACCGTGGTGTACAAATGGCTTTTTCCACCAAATTTTAGCAATGACCGACCTTGTTGCGGGGGAAAATTTTACGTAATATTTTAATGAATTCGTTCTAGAAAGAAACCTCAGACGTAGAATTTGAGGATAATAACGATTTACAGACAACAAAATACATATGATCGTCAAACGAAATAAGAATTGACATTCAGTGCAATAAACATTTGATTATATGCAACATAATAATAATATTGCGAAAAAAGGGAAAAAACTTAAAGACGTCAGTAAAGATAAATGTTCTGCGAAATGAATTTCAAGAGAGATTGAGAACGAGTCTTTAGGAGGAAAAGGGGGAGAGACATAGACATGGACGTGGCAATATAAATAGAGAATGAGATGAGGAATTTGTATTAGTTGTTAAGCCCAACTATTCCAACCTATAAATATTATTAAATGGAAGCTTCATAGGTACGCTAATTTTGGTAAGACAAAATGGTGCCATGCCATTATTGACGCCTACACGGTGGGTGCCAGATTAGATCAATCTATAACCTATAATATATTAAAATAGGGTAAATTATATTACCACTACAAATTTTACTAAACACACCACAATTTGTCCAAGGTTCATCAAATCCTTCAACAAATTGGTATCAAAATTACGTTTATATTACTTATAAAGTATTTTAAAATAACGTGCAATGCATATTCAACTTTGACTAGTTTGTTTAAAAGTCAATTGTTTAAGAATAGATAGGAGAGAGGCGTATATTGGAAGTTTAAAACCATGAAAAATAAATTAATTGGGTTCATGACGACGAATCGTTCATGATTTTTGTATTTGAAAAGGTGGGACCATGTTCCTCGTTTTAAATTTGTGATGACAGTATTGGAAGACAATAGAGCTGTTGAGTTGGATAATCAAAATAAACAACAGCATAGTCAGCAAGAGACACATCAGCAATTGACAACAACTCAACAAGAAGGAAAGAAGAATTCTCTAGAAGAAAAGAAGGAAGAAGTTTGCACTATATAAAAGTTTGTTATGATACTGGTATTCTGTTTTGTATATTCGTTGCTGCACATGTATATAATATTCATTTTATTCTTTACAGCCATGAGAATATTCTTGTAAAATAGGCCTATATACTGGCCTTGGGTGCAGAAGATTGATAAGAGAAAATTAATAGAACCCTTTTCCATTCTCTTCAATTACTCTTGCAGAAGTTGATTATATTGTTTTCTTGCATTTCTAAAATGGTATCAGAGCAAGTGATGGAGGATTCAGACGTTGGAAACCCAAATTCAAATCAATCCCAAAGCTAAAATCCAAACACCAACCAGTCAGATAACTCTAATACTGTTATACACGATCCTGCCCATCCTAGTAGCCCATATTTCATTGGTAGCAATGATAGTACTGGCGCCATGCTTGTCACTCATACCTTGGATGCCAATAACCATCACTTATGGGCCAGATCAATGAAGAGGGCATTATGTATCAAGAACAAGTTAGGATTCATCGACGACAGCATACGTGAACCAACGACCCAAATGACTCTCTCATGGAGTATTGGCTACACTGTAACGACATTGTAATTACCTGGATGCTAAACACAATGTCCATTGACATCAAGCGTAGTACCACACATGCTGAGACAGCACACCAACTTTAGATTGAATTGGAGCAACATTTTGCTCAGCAAAATGCGCCTCGAATTTTCGAAATCAAACAAGCCTTATCCATGCTGTTACAGAATCAAGAACCTGTGAGTCTTTATTTTTCAAAACTAAAAACCCTTGAATTATGAAACTATTCCTAGTTGTAACTGTGGGGGTTTAAGGACTGTTGTTCAGAATCAACAGAGGGATTGGGTGATGAAGTTCTTGATGGGTTTGAATGATTCGTACAAGGGAATTAAGGCACAAATTTTGTTAATCGAACCCTTCCCTAACCTAAATGAGGTTTATTCAATAGCACAACAAGAGGAGAAAAGGAGAGAAATATCGACTGAGTATGTACGTGAGTCGATGGCTTCTTCTTTCCAGAGTGAGTTTCAAAGAGAAGGGAAAATAGAACGTTTCTAAGCAGAAAAGGGACACATATTATTGTACTTAGTGTAAAATCTCAGGGCATTCAATTGAAAGATGTTTCAAAGCCAATCCATAGAAACCAATTTGCTCACAGTGTAAGATTCCTGGTCATTCTGCAGATAAGTGTTTCAAGCTCAATGGATACTGATCAGGCCACAAATCCAATGTAAAGAATAGATACTCAGCAAATCAAGCAACTGCGTCCTTGTCTCTTGCACAGGAAATGGTGAATGATAAATCACAAGTGTTCTTAAGTCAAGGGCATATTTCATAGCTCATGGCTCTCCTCAAACCAACCACAAATCCTCAACATTTGATCCACTCAGCCAATAATGCTCAGAGTATTGTCACTCCTTCTTCATCTGATGAAAGTAAACACCAACTTTCTGGTATATCTTTATGTATGTCTGTTGTTAAGTCAAAGCCTTCTAACATCTTAGATGTTCCTTGGATTTTAGATACGAAGGCGACAGATCATATAACCTGTTCCACGGCACTATTCTCTGCCATTCAGGCAGAAGTTTTTTATTTAATTGCTTTAGCAAATGGCAACAGGGTTCCTGTTACCCATATGGGAATAATGAACATTACAAATACTTTGAATCCTCGAGATGTCTTCCGTGTTCCTAGCTTATCATTTAATCTAATTTCTGCCAAGAAAATAACTCAAATGTTTAACTGTTTTCTGCTTTTCTTCTCTCATTAAATCCAGGACCTTTCAGCCTGGAAAACAATTGGCATGGGTGAAGTCAGAGAAGGTCTGTACCATATGATGCTAGAGGAGATTTCTTCTTCAGCTTTGTTAGACCTCTTGAACAAACTATATACTATACCTTCCATTTCTGCTTTAGTGACCAGTAATTCTCAAAACTTTGATGTTTGGCATTATAGATTAGGGCACACTTCCTATTCTGTTCTTAATGTTGATGGTGAAATTTGTTTTTCGAAGTCTTCTAATGACAAATCTTGCTCTATATGTCCCTTATCTAAGTTGCACAAATTGCACAAATAAAATAGAGTTGAATTTAAAAATGAAGCAAAAATTTTCTTTTCAACGCAAGTCATTGGCATTTGCACCACACATAACACAACGATCATTTTCATAATAATGTCTGTCAAGATTAGGACATGATTTAAAAGTAAGGTTCTATGTCATAATTAATTTAAATGTATCAATCGATCCTCATGTGATCGAAATTATCAATTCGAACGTTAAAATCACATACGACTTTTACATAAAATAAAGCTATAAGCCAAAATCATTAAACAATCGAACATATTTTTTTCATTTCAACTGTAGCTAGCGACTTTGATGGTTTTCGCACATGAGGACCAAATTCATGGATTTATACAGATTGTGGACTTATAAATGATAAGTGCATTTTATATACTTATTTATGTTACAAAATATTAATAATTTTTATAAATATATGGAATATATCATAATCCTATATAAATTATGTTCTGCAGGACAACATCGATGAATATGGCAGAATTAAGGAAAAATAAGAGAAAAAGACCAAAATGAAAGAAAATAAAAGTCTAGGGACCAAAGTGTAAATAATAAAAAGATGACCCGAAAGTAGGAATGAAGATGTCAAAGAGTCAATGACAAATTTAGTGAAGACATGGAGTATTAGAAGAGGAAGAAGAAATGAGAAAAGAGGTCCAAAAAAGGATAAAACAGAGTTAGGGGACTAAAATGCAACTTTTGAAAGTTTGTCACTACTATGCTGTTGCATAGTATGAATTTGCATGCGGTCGCATGGCCTGTTGCAGAAACTTTCAAGGATGATTTTTTATTGAACTATGCTATAGCATTGATTGGTACTATACTATTGCATAGTTCATTTTCGATGCGAAAAATTTGGTTTCTGTTTCGCGCGGGTAGTCGCTAACAATTAAAAAGGGATCAGACGATTGTGTAAGGAACAAATCTCTTGAGACAAATTCCCAAAAAGGGGTGTTTTATTGGCGATAACTTTACAATTAAAACTAAACAAAATGCCTTCAAGGGGCGCAAGCACACGAGTACTGAAAAGAAATGTTTAAGTTTAAACTAAGAAATTGAAATTACATATTTTTTGTTTGAGAGTGTTTGATTCGGAGTCTTTTGCTCTATATCTTCTCTTCCTTTTATATTTCCTTGATGATTTCTTCGTGATCAACCGCTTAGAAATTGCTCGATTACTTTATAACTACCCACTTTCTTTATGGTGGCTAACTTGTCGTGGAACTGCCGTCTCTAACTGCTGCCACTACTCTTTGTCGTTCAACCGTCTTCAATTGAACTCCTTGAATCGCGGAACGTGATAAGGTTACTCAATAACTGCTTCAATAACTGCACTTCTGGATAACCATAACATCTTATGTTTGCTAAGATCTTGGGCAATTCGAAGGTCTGGGCAAGAACAGGGTCATAGCTTTGGGCGACTGTAAGGTACTTCATTCGCTCAGATCTTGGGCGTCTTGAAAGCTTGGGCGATGATGTTACCGTGTTCGTGGGCTTCCACTGTATTCATTAATAATCCCATCTGGGCCTTTATCCTGAATTGTCCAGTTGGGCTTCATTTTT